AACTTTAAATTAAGTACATGTTTTTAGTAGTTCGTGATGAGAGCTTTCGATTGGCGTTTGAATTTTCCAAATCGGACCATTAGTTCGGGAGATAACAGGGGGGGGGGGTAAAATTTACCCCCCCAGCCCCGCGCGTTCGGCTGGAGACCCCAGCCCCGCGCGGGTTAAGTGCCAATCCGACTCATGGGTCCCCATGCATCGGCTCCTGAGGGCCCCACGCCGTTTTCTAAGACCCCACACCGACTGCTGATGAGCCTTCACCGGGTGGAGGGCCCCATTCCGGCTCTCAATAGTCTGAGTCACATAGGCCTTTCTGTCTTGTTCACACGGGCCTCCTTGTCTTATTGGCTGCTAAGTAGTCCAGTAAGGGCTTTGAACAGTTCCTGTCGTATCTTTTGTATCAGATTGTAACACTCTTAATATAGCTATCTAGAAAAATACTATCCTTGCATATTACAAGAAACTTTATGATGTTAAACAGCCAACCAGCATTATACCTTTTAGAATTCGTGGGCAAAGGCCTTAGGAACCCTCTTCAGCTGGGGGCCCATGGTCACGGGGGCTGAGTTTGGAGGCCATGCCATCTCATTTAAAGATTATGCGGTGTGCATGAATAATGAATTCTTCCGCCTACCGCAGCTCCCACAAAATAGATGAGTAAAAATAAAGACGGTAAGCCCATCACCCTATCGCGTTGTGCATACAGACACCTTGCGTAAAACTCGGGTCAAAATAATGAAGTGAAAGTGAGTTTCCGGCGCGGTCACGACAGCTCAGCTTTGTAAACACACCACGACTGCTGGCTACGCCGTGCCCACCGCAGCACGGCTCGTGACCTCTCGGGGTCACTGGGAGCACGGGCGGCCGTGTACACCGGAGGTGAGGCGCACGGGCGTCCCGTGACCGCCGCTCAGCGCTGGGAAGATCAACTGGAGCAATGTTGCGTGGTTCAAGGCGAGTGAAAGCAGGAGCGTCGCCACATCCGAGTGACAGCACCCGGTGACAATCGCCGCGCGGCGGCGGCAGTCGGGCCGCAGCAAAGTGTTTGATGAGCCACCGGGCATTGCGTTAGGAACCAAACAAAAAATGCCGCTTTGTGATGACTGCGCAGAATTGCAGAAACGGAAAACGGAGAGGAATGAAAGCAAACGTGTTTGTGGTGCATTGGATTTACTACAACCTGTGCAGACCTGGTCTTTCATCAGTGATTTCAATCCCCTAAGAAATCATGCCGACGCATTTACCGATAATGAAAACCGATTATCAAGAGTGCATTCGCAAATCAATTCATTGGCAACAAGCCTACCACCTATCATTGCAACCTCGGCGCTCGCACACATGCAACCATGACATTTTTACATTTCAACACATTTCTACCATGCAGTGGACGGGAACTTCTTATACCTATTCAAGACATTTGCATAAAAAAGATATTCGAGGTAACAGGTCAGGTCAAGGTTAGGTCAACACCTAAAATTGGGCTTTCAGCAAGATGGACCTTAACCCTCGCCGGCACAGGGGGGGGGGGGTTGATGCAACTCCCCCCAGGTTATTCGCGAATAACTCACGTAAAAAGCGGCCGATCGCAACGAAACTTTAACCCTCGCCGGCACAGGGGGGGGAGGGGGTTGATGCAACCCCCCATAAGGTTTTTCGCGAATTCCTCGCGTAAAAAGCGGCCGATCGCGACGAAACTTTCAGTACCCTCGCATTGATCAATTTTATACCTATCTTGAAAATTTCATGACCCTGACCCAAATGCCCTTTGACCTGTGACCTCTTTTCCGAGACCATGTTTGGCCGGAATCGCGATTCGGCGTATGTCGGCTCGCATTAGCCGCGCGTTTGCAAGCTTTTTGTGGTTTTAAACGTTCAAACATGTGATTTGATGTTGCTCCCATACATTAGGGTAGGTGTCAAGGTCACCTGAAGGTCAGGTTAGGTCATTGACCTTTGGTGACCTCGGTTCACTTTTTTCGAGTTTCACATGTTTCTAGGCTAGTTTTTGGAGCTGAATTCGAATTTATCAACCATTTGAACATTTACGAAGTAGTTTTGGTGCCTTCGTAACATGTTACGAAGCTGTCAGGGGCGGATGACACGTACCTACTACGAATACCCGTCATGACCCCTACCGGTTGACCTGACCTGACCTGACCGGACCTGGTCTAAACGCTCAACGATATCATCTGTGATCAAAACTAACACGATATTCGTGATCAGCACCCCGGAAAACCACTTAGCAGCCACACTTTACGACTTTCTAACAGGCCCCGATATTCCCGATTTTTTGGGTCATTGACCTGACCTGGAAGGTCAACCGATGACTTAGGACCTTAAAATTGGGTATCATTGGCTTCCTCTCGTGACAGGCAACACGCTCGTTTTTTCCGCGAAGCTCTAGCTCCATCAGGGGCCAAACGCGAGGAGGGTCCTCGTACCCCCCCCCCCCCTTGTGCCGTCGAAGGACTCAAAATGGCCTGAACCGGCGAGGGTTAACCCGCGCACCGACGGGGGTCTGCGCCAACTTAGTACCGACGGGGGGGGGGGGGGGGGGGCGGATGACCGCCCCCCCTGAGATCTCGAGAACGAAGCAAGATAGCGACAAGCGGTAAACGGCATCGGATACGCACGGTCAAGATCTACAATTTTTACTAAGGTCATTTTCAGGTCAGGTCAAAGATGACGTCACAGGGGTCGAAAAAGTCAAAATGGCGGCGCTAAATATGGAGAGAGTTTTTCTCGAATAACTTTCGAATTAGTCAAGATAGGAACAAACTAAGGGCATCATCGTGATCCTCTCGTCAATCCGCATCGAATGATATATATGTTGACCTCGAAAGGTCAAGGTCAAAGGTTGACCTCAGGTCACGTGACCTCGAGGTCATCATGTATATCATTCGATGCGTCTTGACGAGCTGAACACAATGAGACCATCCACGCGTCTGTATCTTGTTCCTGTACGGAGTTATTGGCCAAAAACCTTTGGTGACCTTTGATGACGTCACATGACCTCACAGCTGCCCAACAGCAAAACAGACCTCAAGGTAGTGAAGGTTGATCGTATATGAAGTCATGTATGGTATATGGGGCCATTCCGACCCGTTTTAGTGGTAAAAACAGGGAGTTGATTTTTCCCCCATTGACTTATAATGGGGAGGTCGCGAAATTGACCTGACCTTAGGTCACCGATATCAAAATTCCGAGATATACAAATTGTAGCTACTAATGACCTAATAACATCCTGCGACTTTCAAAGGCCTCCGACATCTACTGTAGCTCTGGCACGGTGACAAAGTTGCAAAAAAGTGACTTGAGGTTGGGTCATTCAAAGTGACCTGGTGACCTGACCTTGAAAGGTAGGAGGTTCAAACTTGCACACCATGTGTAAAATTGATAAGGGAATAGTCATACCAAATTTCGCGGCGCTACGCGCCGCGGTTTTCCCGCTATTCGCGAAAAACCTCAGGGGGGGGAGGCGGATATCCGCCCCCCCGTCGGTGCGCGGGTTAAGTACCCTCGCATTGATCAATTTTACACCCACCCTGAAAATTTCGTGACCCTGACCCAAATGACCTTTGACCTTTGACATACTTTCCGAGACCATGTTTGGCCGGAATCGCGATTCGACGTATGCCGGCTCGCATTAGCCGCGCGTTTGCAAGCTTTTCGTGGTTTCAAACGTTCAAACATGTTATTTGATGTTGCTCCCATGCATTAGGGTGGATGTCAAGGTCATCCGAAGGTGAGGTCAGGTCATTGACCTTTGGTGACCTAGTTTCACTTTTTCGAGTTTTACATACCTAATTCTAGGCTAGTTTTTGGAGCTGAATTCGAATTTAGCAACTATTTGAACATTTACGAAGTAGTTTTGGTGCCTTCGTAACCTGTTACGAAGCTGTCAGAGGCGGTTGACACGTACTACGAATACCCGTCTAGACCCCTACTGGTTGACCTGACCCGATCTGCTCTAAATGCTTCAAGACATCTGTGATCAAAATTAGCACGATATTCGTGATCAGCATCCCGAAAAAATCCATGGCAGCCACAATTCACGACTTACTAGCAGGTCCCGATTTTCCCAGCTTTTGGGTCATTGACCTGACCTAGAGGGTCAACCGATGACCTAGGGTCCTTAAAATCGGCTTCCTCTCGTGACGGGCAGCACGCTCGTTTTTCCCCCCGAAGCTCTAGCTCGATCAGGGGCCAAACGCGAGGGGGAGGGGGGTCGTACCCCCTTGTGCCGTCGAAGGACGCAAAATGACATTTGCCGGCGAGGGTTAAAACCTCGTACTGGGTGTCTCTCGTCATCATAAACTCTGTCAAGACTGCACAATCCTTCATATAGGTAAGTGCTACACGAGTGTCAGCTACATGTAGGGGGTCAGTCAAGCATGGGTGAGGGTGAAGGTCAGGTCAATCCGGTAAGAGCATATCCCCGAAAATCAAAATTGGACGACCTAGGACCTTAAAATTTGGTGTCACTAGCTTTCTTGCAGCATGTGCAACACCCTCATACTTTTCGCTAGGCTCTAGCTCAGTTAGGGGTCAAAGGATGGGGTGAGGGGGCATCAGACACCCTGATGTTAGAAACGATACGTGCAATGGATAAAATACCACAAATACCTAAGACATTAACACTCTTAGCGGCATAGGGCCTGGGCACATCAGTGGCTACAGCGACATCTATGGCTCAGGTACCGCTCTGACAAGTTTCGTTCTACCGCCCAGTTAGACATCACAGATGTCGCTGCTGGACGCCGGCATCGGTCCGCGTATTCCGCTGGCTCTGACGATACCACACCACCCTGTCATATCATGCGAGTTCCCTGTGATGGAGCCTTAAAGGTACGATTATAAGTGTCATACGATAGATCATAAGCGTCAAGTGTCAGAAATAAAGCGGCACAGGTTAGCAGAAGCGTGTACCGGGTGTCATTCAGGATTATTTTCTGGATTATTTTCTATCAATAGTTTTGGAGAGGTAGAAACAGATCACGTAACAATTTGACAACGCGATTTATTACAACACATGAGATGAACACTGGCGTGGTAACACATCAATAGGCACTGTATCACGATAGTTTGCTCGTTCGACCGAGACAATATCCGCTCCAGCCCTCCCCGTCACAAAATCAGCCTAGACACGGTCCATTGTCACACCGTACAGTGGTCAGAATATCAGTTTCTTGGCCAGTCCGCCCATTCCGGACTCCTCCGCCGACTCGACAATCCTTCGTTTGATGCTGGGCCGGTCCACCTCCTTTTTGCGTGCCGATATCTCGGCCGGCAGCGGCAACAGGTGGCCGGGGGAGGGCGCCGGCCGCGAGCTGAAGTAGGGCAGCTTCAGCACACTGGCGCACGTGCCGCGCCGCGCCGGGTCCAGCGCCAGCAGCGAGCGCAGCACGTCCAGCAGCTCGTCAGACGCCGCCGTGAAGATGTCCTGCAGCCGCGTGCCGGGGAACACCTTGAACTGGACGTAGGAGGGGAGCGCCGTGACGCCCGACCACGTTTCCTCGGTTGGCGTGCCCATGGCCATGAAGATCTTTGTGAGCTGGTCGAGGTCCGAGTCGCCGGCCAGGAAGGGGATGCGCAGCAGCAGCTCGGCCAGGATGCAGCCCACCGCCCACACGTCCACACCCGTGCCGTACATCTGGGCGCCGAACAACAGTTCGGGGGCCCGGTACCACCGCGTCACCACCTGGTGGGTGTAGATCCGATTCGGCGAGCCGTAGTACTTGGCCAGGCCGAAGTCGCCCAGCTTCAGCACGCCAGAGCTGGTCACCAGCAGGTTATTGGGCTTCAGGTCGCGGTGCAGGATCCAGTTCATGTGCAGGTACTCGAGGCCGCGCAGCGTCATCAGCGTGTACGCCTTGACGTCAGACTGTTTGAGCACCAGTGTCATGTCCTTGATGATGATCTCCAGGTCCGTGTCCATGAAGTCGAAGACGAGCGACACGTTCGACTTGTGGCCGAAGGCGTCCAGCAGGCCGATCACGTTCTCGTGCTGCAGCTCCTGCAGCAGCTTTATCTCGCGCAGCGCCGTGCGGTTGATGCCGTCCTCGGCCTCGGCGCGACTGCCCATCTTGATCTTTTTGACGGCCACAATCTTGCCGGTCTGTCGGTCGAGCGCCTTGTACACGGTGGCGAACTGACCCTCGCCGAGAAAGTCCATCTTCTCATAGCGGCGCAGTTTGTCTTCAGACATGGCTGCTGTCTAAGAGTGATACAGACGCAACCAGATTCCAATTTCCAGGTGTCAGTTATGTGCGACTAACACAGGCTATGCAGCGTTTCCTGAAAAGAAGCAGATAAAAATAGTTAGTTTACATATACCTTACTGGTTATATCTAATACTGGGCAATGCTCTCTTTCATTGTTGCCTTGAATGCATATCTTAACGAAGTCATGTCCCATGACTGGATACTGTGTACCAATTCGACGATGTTGCCGTTTGTATCACTACACTCTGTGGCTTATTGGTTTAGCACTTTTAGGCTCACTTTCCTGACTGGAAGTGTTCTCATCCACCGGGCGAGCTCATTCTATGCGGGTTCCTTCCCTACTCTCTGTTCCTCTATTCATTTGGTTACTCTCAGACCAAGGGAGCCCCAAACACATGAGTTGGGCAGGTGAGTTCTCATGAGTGATGAAGACATAAAGCCAAGAGTTACACAGAAAATAGCAATAGTTTTATGATTTACTTAAGCATAAAACCCCTATATAGTGCATTTTCAGGCTACACTCTGCGGCACACAGGCACTGACAGTCTCATTGCAAATTGTGCGTCATCACAAATCGCAATGCTGGTTGTGGCAGTAGCAGCGGAACACCTTCAATTAAGGGGGGCACTGCCGACTTTTGGTCCCATTCTTTCCATGCAATGCCCATAGCGCTAATGTTAAAATGCCAAAACCAAAGGGGAGCATGGTGCCCTGGTGCCCTCCTCATTCTGCCACCTATGGGCTGTGGTGCTTGCTTTTTTCCTTAACAAATGTAGCCTATAGGCCATTTCATAGCATACTGCCTACTATTAAGTATTAGCTAAAACTATTGCACTTTTGGTTTCCAGGGTACTATGAACAAACTATTATTTATTAATCTGACACTCTAATATTGTAAAGATTCATCAGTTAGGCAATTACAACTTATAAGTGTATGCTTTTGGAAAGCTATTGAAAAGCCCACGGGTGTCACTTTCCGAAATTTATTGGTAGGGCTCTTATGGTTAATTTTAGGATACCAAAGCCATTCTGATTCATACCATGCAGCGCCATAGGGTTAATGTTAAAATTCTGAAAATATTCGTAGGGCTCAGGCTCCACCAAGCCTATACAAAACGGTATTCTTATACCCATGGAAAAGCCGTGATGGAACCCCACTCAACATACACTACCCAGTACCTACACTTAAAAAGCTCATCGTCCAACTTATAAAGAAAATCTTGATGTTAACTTATCCGTGCCTTATCCTCCTCATGCATTGACCTTCGAATCGACGACATTCAACGACATTACAGCAATTCCAGTGATCCAACAATACGATCTTCGATTTTCATTTGGCTATTGATTTGAATGAGTGAAGGAGAATCCGCCTATATATAATGTTCACGAATTGCCTTTTCCTTGCTGGCGGTCAATCAGTTATTGTTGCCATTGGTCACTGTTCCAGCTTTTTGCTTTACTAGCTTGCAGATCGCAAATTGAACACTTGAGCATGCCTTTGTTCTGTAGCATTTGCGCCATATCTGTAAAATAATGTAAATTTGGTAGCTTTGCTCTAGTAAAGGTTTTTGGTGCAGCGCGCTTGGGAGCTGGGAGCTGGTTCTGAAAAATAAAAATACCTACGCCTGTCGCTATGGTTTTGGCATGGATGAAAGAACCTGGATAGGAAACTCCTATTCCTTCAACATTACGGGCAGCGTTCCGGGCGATCGTCCTGCCACCTAGCGTTCGGTAAGTATCGGGACTGGAAACTCCCGCCGTTAAAGGGACCCTCCCACCTTAACATTAGATTTGAGTTGAGATAGCCAAAATGGGGTCCCTGGCTCACAATTACCGGTTTCGGCACTCACAACATCGAGAAATGCCTTAAATCGGAAATATTGAATTTCAAAATTGCAGCATTTTGATTCAGAGGGGCTAATGCTTAGGAATACCCCTCTGAATGTGTGACGTCAGCGCAAATATCTAACGATTTTTAAATGTTTGACTAAAACGTTTTGTAGCACGCGGTGGTATATGCTATTTGCGCGCAGCATCTGCCGCAAACGCCGCACTTCTAAAATAAAGTCGCTAGAAACAGCGGAGATCCCAAAAAAGTAAACAAAAGTAAAAGTCTAATATCTTGAAAACCGGTGAATATTTTTCGGTGAAATTTGGTAGATATTTGTTTTCGCTCTTTCTGAACCCAGCGACATCACTTTCATGCCAATTCATAAACTTTTTTGAAGGTGGGAGGGTCCCTTTAACCCGGCACCGCCTGGGCTATTTCCGTACCCACGACAGCCTGGGGGGGGGGGGTCGGATCCGACCCCCCCCCCTGTTATCTCGAGAACCAATGGTCGTATCGAGCCCCGCGAGGCGGCGTTCGAAAGGTCTCTACGAGACCTTCCCAAAGCACTCTTAAGATTTTAAGATTGAGGTCAACTTTCGGGTCAAGGTCAGGTCAAAGGTCAAATTCAGGGGTTTTGCATGATTAGGCTTACGGACAGCGGAATCGATAGCTGCTGCTCGAAACTCACCAAAAATGACCTCAAAGGCCTAGTGAAGGTACCATGTGCGTATAGGGGTCATACTAAGTACGGGTCAAGGTCAGGTCAGGTCACGAAAGGTCACGGTTTTCAATTTCTGCTACATGGGCGTGCGATGCATGTTTTATGGCTTATTTTTCACGCCGAATCCGATGGTAATGGTTATATGTGACCCCAAGTCACTGTGCTGGTGATAAGTGTGCATTGAAAGCATAAAAAATCGTTTATGCTATACGAGGGCTGAGAAAAAAGGTCAATTTTTCAACTTTTTATTTTTGACATAGAAATGCACTTTTCTAGACGAGCTTTGTCCCAGGAATCTAGTGGTGCCATTTGTTTTCACATGCGATGTTCAGAAGTGCCTCTAATTCACGAAAATGCTTATGACGTCACCATGCCCTATGCATGTTGGAGCTATTTTTTACAATTTGGGGGTCAAAAATCAAGATAGAAAGTTGAAATTTGAAGCATCTAATGTTCTAATAGAGCTCTACAACATATACTCCGGTTTTTTGGAAATTCCCAAAATTTTGGATTTTATTAGCTGTTTTCCAAAAAATATAGTTTTTTGAATTTTTAGGGGTGAAAAACGCATTTTATGGAAAATCCGAGATAGCCATTTTAAAGAAATCGTTGAGTTGCGTCTTTTCATGTCCTTAATTTGCAATTTGCTTTAAACCCTGATTTTTGGCGATTTCTTAAACATTTACCACTTTTTGACTAAAAACGCCATGTAGTTACATCACTAAAATCGATATATCTCAAAAAAATTTGGAAATTTTTTTCTTAAAAATTGCACAGGAGACGTCAAATTGATAGGGGAGAAGGTATGCCAAGTTTCAAGTAGATAGCGAAAGTGGTTCATGAGTTATTCAAGAAAAACGGAGGGGGGGGGGGTCGGATCCGACCCCCCCAGGCGGTCGCGGGTTAAGCATTACGGCCTATGGGGGACGCGGGGCGGCATGTTTTGAAACGGGTATTAGACCGCAATGCGGATTTATTTTTAGGTTAAGAAGCTATATACGACAGACAAAATTGATCAGGCTATCGAATGAGACCAAAACTATTATTGTCCGTTCCGCACAAAAGTCGTACACGAGGGCCGAAAACAGGCGACCTTGAAAAAGAGGGCCATTTCTAGTGTTTTTCTCTTACGCGGCGCCGGTGAACGCTTACGCGGCGCCAGTGAATGCGCGGCAGACGCGGCTCCCGCTGCCGCCGCGCGTGCCCTCGGGCACTTACCGAAGGGAACGCAATCAGCTGTTAGTTTCCAATCCAGGTTCTCCTTCATCCATGGTTTTGGGTTTAGTAAAGTAATCTTGGGCTTGGGTACTACAGCCTTGGGTACATAGCCTTGCTCATATACAGGGTGTCCGGAAAGTCCTGGGGCCTCTTGGACGTCGCCCTAACGCGCGCTGTGAGCATTGAACTTCAACCAATCACCACAGATAGGTACCTATGACCCCCGCCCCCCGTTCACCCGCTCAGCTAGGCCAGCTAGGGGTCGCGTAAATATCAGACTTTGAAACAGTTTTCAGTGATTACGAGCGAGCGAGCGCAGCGAGCGAAGTGAGTCTTTTCAATATAACGGAAAAATCTCAGTATGAGCGGCCCGGCCCGGCCCGGCCCGGCCCGGCCTGTAACGCTTTTGATATCTCATCATCTCTTATATCTCAGCAACCGCTGGACCGATTGGCCTGCGGTCTTTTCTGTTGGGTAGCCCAATCCCTTCTACCCCGTAATTGACTACTTTTGATACATCTCAGTGACCGTCGTGGCACGTGCCACGTGAAAAGTCAAGGGTGTTCAAGCTGTTTTGCAAAAGTAGTGATTTTGAGAGGCTCATATCTCAGCAGCCGCTTGGGCGATTGACTTCCGGTAATTTTTGTAGGGTAGCAGCATCCCTTCTACCCAAAATAGGATACTCTCGAAGCATGTGGGTCACCCCCAGTGCACGTGCAAAATACAACAATAAGAGGTGCCAAATTTGTTCCCATTTCAGTAACTCGGTAATTACTGGGGCGATTTCGCTGAAACTTGGCATACAGGTAGGCACCCACCAGGCAATGCATTCCCATGTGTTGCGGTTAGGGTGCTACTGCACGTGCGCACGTGCAGGGGGCGTTTCCAGATCTCGAGAACGGCTGGCAGGGCTGGTAAAAAAGCAAATTGCGTCCCCGACCAAAAAATGAGAGCGAAAAATGACCCCGACCTTTTTACGATTCATGTATGCAGGCTGCATGCAACTACGATGCGCGTTTCCTTAGGTTTCATTTCTATATTATTATTTTTACGAGCAGTCATATGTACTAAATTGCTTATCAGACTCGCGCTTCGAAATTTCCAGTTTGTTAATTAAATGTCACGGCATCACTCGGTCAGCGGGTAGCGTAACAGACGAAGAACCCGGAAGGGGTAGGGGGCGCTACGATCGTCGAACAGATGCAATAGGTGTCGCTATTGTATCGGTAGCTCACAACGACGACGGCTAGAAACTATCGACCCCGCATGAATTTACCATGTCCAACCGGTCCGACCCCGGTTCCGAATCTAGTCGTTTGTCTAGTCGTATAGCTGGCTACAACTGGTCGTCAATCAACCCCGCTTGAAATAGCACAGCCGACAGCGGGGTCGGTGTCTAAGCGTCTGTTAGTATGTGTTTGATCATCTAGTTTGATCTAGTTTTCGTTAGCAACTGTCGGCGGTAGTTTTGCTGTTAACGGAAGTGAGTTGTGGCTACTAATTGTTCATAACCATGTTGTAGGTATGTACCTATTAGGTATAGGGGCTTTTTATGTCCTTGTTAAAGGGGACCTATACGTTGTGGATTCAATGATATCTTTTACTTGCGTTTAGTTTCTGCTTTATTTGAAAGTTATTTATTACTGTAAAAGTTTACTAAATGTGGTAATTTTGACCCCGGGTACTTGAACTTTTACTGGTACAGTGTCCCCGACGACGTCAATAGGACATAACACTTTACCAGCCCTGACGGCTGGGCCGATTGCGCTCAAATTTGGTACACGGTTGGGGACCAGTTAGTAGGGTGCCGTGCAAAAGTCATTTTGGACCCCGTTTGCACGTGCGCACGTGCAGAATGCCGCTTCCAGATCTCAGGAACGGCTGGGCCGATTGCGTTCAAATTTGGCACACCGCTAGCGACCGGTTAGAAGGGTGCTTTGCGCAAGCCCGTTGGAAGCACCCTCTCGCCCTTCCGCACGTGCAGGGCTCACTATCTCGCTCGCTCGTTCTTCGCCCAAAAGGCGTTTTACTGGTGTTCTAAAACAGTAGGGGTGCTCGCAATTTTCACTATTATTACGAGCGAGCGAGCGCAGCGAGCGAAGTGAGTCTTTTCAATATAACGGAAAAATCTCAGTATGAGCGGCCCGGCCCGGCCCGGCCCGGCCCGGCCCGGCCTGTAACGCTTTTGAGAGGCTTATATCTCAGCAACCGCTGGACCGATTGGCCTGCGGTCTTTTTTGTTGGGTAGTCCCATCCCTTCTACCCCGTAATTGACTACTTTTGATACATCTCAGTGACCGTCGTGGCACGTGCCACGTGAAAAGTCAAGGGTGTTCAAGCTGTTTTGCAAAAGTAGTGATTTTGAGAGGCTCATATCTCAGCAGCCGCTTGGGCGATTGACTTGCGGTAATTTTTGTAGGGTAGCAGCATCCCTTCTACCCAAAATAGGATACTCTCGATGTATGTGGGTCACCCCCAGTGCACGTGCAAAATACAACAATAAGAGGTGCCAAATTTGTTCCCATTTCAGTAACTCGGTAATTACTGGGGCGATTTCGCTGAAACTTGGCATACAGGTAGGCACCCACCAGGCAATGCATTCCCATGTGTTGCGGTTAGGGTGCTACTGCACGTGCGCACGTGCAGG